ATATATATATATATTCAACCATAATATTTATTTATATATAATTTATTATAAACTTTAATTATATTATATATACTAAATATGCATGTGCATTTCACATGTTAAAATACTATTTATTTTAAAAGTAAAAAAAGAAAAACATACATATCTTGTTTTATTAGAGTAAAATGATATAATTTAAAGATAAAAAAATTGACTAGGATAATTAATTACTAATTTGTAAATAAAACTAAAAATTAATTAAAAAATGTTCTAAAGTAAAACATAAAATGATTAATTATATATATATATATATATGCAAAATACATATATATATATATATATATTGCATATTGTACTTAGATTTTTTTATTAATTATTTAATATTGTAGTAGTAAAATTTTTATTTATTTTACTTTTTTAAAATATATATAATAACTTCACATTTATGATAAATGATAGATGTATATTAAAAATTACTTATATTTTAAAAGGTGAGAGAAGAGGATTTTTTATTTTTTTTTTATCATTATAATAAAGGTTGTTTATAAGAAGAAGAAGTTAGAAGAATTTTTTTTAGAAACTGTGACCTGTGTAGATACGTAGCCTTCTTTTATATATAGTAATAGATAGACTAGAGCCAAAGGACATCAAACTAGCTTAAGACAACACATTATATGAACCTCTAGCGAAGATCATGTACTTTTATTGCTCCTTTCGGTCATTATGAACTTGTAATTGGACATTCTAGTAGCTTGAAACTACACATAAAGCTTTCTTGGGATAGGACCCTAATGACACTTGGACAGTGTGTTGTTTTACACAAACTGGATTATTATTATATAAACGAAAAAGGTGTTACCGTAGAAGCACATACTCAAAAACTTAACAACTAAGATAGTGCCAAATGCCCAAAGCATACAAGGCTCGAGGGAAAAGCTTCACTAGAAAGGTGTCAAAAAAGCTAAGGCGTAAAATATTTAACATATTTTAGTGTTGTAGGAGTGTCTGGCTTTCTCTAGTTTCCCCATATATCATATTTTCCCTCTTTCTTGGTTTGCTTAGCAATGGATGAAATGAATACTTGTAAACCAAAAATCAAAAGGTAGAATTTAATGGACTATCTGCCGGTCCTGCAATTTTGCAAATTATCTCTACTTTCACATTTCTTTGCCAAGGAAGAACCATTAAAAAGTAAAAGTAAAATAAAATAAAACTTGCTTTCGTTGAATGTTTTCTCTTATCATTGTGTTGGTAGCTACGAAGTGCCAATAAATAAAATGAAAAAACTTAAATAATATGATAGCTATAGTTAGTGTTATGCTTCAACTAGAATAAGAGTTAAATATTTATTATTGAGATTTCCATTAAATACAAAATTATATATTATCAAAGTAAAACAAATTTTATTAGAGAACAGTATTAGTCATATCTATAGTGCAATACCTAAATTTTGTCCTAAATAGAATCAATAAAAGGAAAACAAGGAGTTGAGCAAAACAAAGTAAATTTGACAGGCATGATTAATTCTGTCTACTACCATTAATTAATGTTATAAACTTCTTTAAACAGTATTTTCTGTTAAAAAAAAAAAAAGATTCTAAAAATATTCTGAGTTTTATTGCCTGACAGTCTACATTATATTATTAAGAAAGTGATACAAATATGAAAGCTAAACAAAGAGCTATAGAGGGGAAGAAGAGTAGGTGACAACAATATGTGCAAGGCCTCACCAAAACAGAAGAAATAGTCACTTAGATTTGGAGGTACACCTCGAGGGAATGTAAGTCCCATTCATGGGGCGGAACTTGAGGTCACAATCAAGACGACACAAGAACTTAACAGACCCTAAGGGCCCTACCCTCCACTGTGTCCTTGCAGCTCCTTTGAAATCAAACTGAATCTCATTTCTTTTCCATGCATCATCCACTTGCTCCATTTGATCAGGACTCAAGGGTATGGAAGATGATTGAACAAGATAGTTGAGGTCTTTGGAACTGTTCTTAGGCACCTCAAAGGGGTTTGCAACCAGCACAGCTATGTCTTGGCCATTGTAGCTGACGTTGAAGGTGATGTCAGAGAAGGTTGCATGAGCCTTGGCATTTCCATTCTTTGCAGTCACAACAATTGTGAGCTGGGTTTGGAGCAGACCAGCATAGTCATTTCTCAGAAGGTCTAGATGAGCATTGGTGACACTGATCACAGGTACCCTCGGGTGGATCACTATGTACCCAATGAACACTGTAATGCCTATAACTACCACTGCTACAGCTATGATGGTGCAGATAATTGCCACTAGCCACACCAAAGGGTTGGTGGGGCCATTTGCACCCATTACCAGTTTTCTCTTGAATTTCGTGGTAGCCATGGAGAAACGGCATCAACTAGAGACTAGAACATGTTTTCTGATTCTCTTCTTAATTTTATCTTGTTGGAAGAGTTCTTGAGAAGCTTATGCAGTGAGGGAACTAAAATTGAGTTCTTTTACTCTAATTGGCTTGAAGGTTTGGTATCTTCCTTTCCTCACTTTAAAGCATTAGATCTAGTGCATGTATATTTTCTTATATGGCACAAGCTTCTCAACAACTACGAATCTTGGCCGTTATTTTATTTTAGAAAAGGTAAAATACCAAACTTGCAGTGCTAAATCCTACCCTGATCCTTTGTTTTGTGTACAGAGCAAATTTTGTCTTGTTTATGTAGGTCCAAATTTGACACAACATGTGGGAATATCAATTCGTCATTATTTTTTAATAAAATAAACTATTGAGTTGACCTTGTGTTTAGTATAAATGCTTATTTAGTAAATTCACACTAAATTTGATACATTGTACAATTTTCCACTAAGTAAACATTTTTCTGCTTAATTGCAACGGTTATAATCGTTTGCATTTTATAATTAAAAAATACAAATTCAATAGGTATAATCACAATTCACCTCGGAAAGGAAACAACTTAGCAATGAGCGACAAATTAAAAAGAAAAATAAGGAAAGAAAAAACATCAGCTTTTGTAAAGTTTAGATGTAAAACCTGAATAGGTATTATCTGTCCAACATTTGAAGGACAAAAACAGAGCACAACTTACTTGCATCATATATTAGTGGAAACTATTTAGTTAAGGACCAAGATTCTCTACTGTTATAATTTTAACTACAAAGATCGATTAAAATAAAAGCATAATTTAGTTTTCAAAATTCATGCACCGTTAGATTATAACTGCTTGGGATGCCGTGCCTTTCAATTCTAAGCTTTAGAGGAATTAATTCTATAGTTACATGCATCCAATCTAATCACTGAAAAATAATGAAAAAGAAGGAACTATTTTTCTTTTCCAATGACTCATGGGCGTAAGGTACAATTGAATAAAAGGTTATTGCAAATACAGGAGTAATTGCGATGAAACACCTATTTCCAAATAGTAAATTAATCCATCGAAACGTATTGTTACCAGAAACCTAACAAAGACAAGATGCAATCTTTTAAAAATAAATAATAAATAATTGTATCTTACACAATTTTAATTGTATCAACATTTTGAAACTTCCACAAGAAATCAGAGTAAAACTTGGGGGAAGCATAAGAATCAAGACTATTGTAACTTACACCTAGTGTTGTTGAATGGCAGAGTTATTGCATGGCGGCGTGCAGGGACACGGTGACCACTAGGCGAATAGGGATTATGGCATGGGTTACTCAATACAAACCATGGCATGGGTTACTCAATACAAACCCCAAAACAAAAGGTCTGCGACATGGGTTGAAGTCTTCTAGGGCATGAGACTTTTTTCCCAGTCTTGAACCTTTTTCCCAGAAACCAGCGTGTTTAACTTTTAGGGAGCGTGACTTCACTTGATAATAGAGACAAGTGAAAACAAAAATGAAAGACAAAATGTAATTGGCACAGGACCGTAGCTGTGTCCTGAAAATTCTTTAGTGTAATGCTAAAATGAAATATGTAACAGTGCTACTTTCTCTATCAATAGTTCAGTACCCCACAAACAAATCCCTCACCGTCAATATGGATCATCACAGAACGAATGTCATTAGTACGCTTTGTCTAGTGATACTATAAGGTATTGTACTTGTTCATGATAGAAAATTGGTATCTACATTCTTATAAATAGTAAGATGAAATATTACTAGATATATTACTTCAACCTCACAATTCTTTGCATATTGAAGAAATGCTTTAGGAAGTTAGATAGACTATATACACAATGGACTCGGAACTTTATTTGCCAACATTAGAAACAGACTAAAATTGATATCTCATATAATGTTAAAAAGGTATTTAGAAAAATAACAATTGATGTATGCTTTAGTTTTGCTTCAACAATTTGTAACTTCCTCAAAGCATGTAATATTTATACAAAGTTTACGACTCTTAAGATGTGAAAAGGAGCACATACAATTACAACTGAAAGTAATAAGTAGACTTGAAGACACCAGAGTTGCTCAAGCTGATCGGTATCAAGGCACTTTTCTTGACCAGCTTAGGTTTGACAACCGCTATGAGTCATCCATGTTGGTAGGCTATTTATAAGGAAACATCATAAGCCCTTACTAAGGCTTATGACATGCCCTGGCATATAGCCAGCAGCTTCCCGTTTCCCTAAACTTTTCCCAACCAAAAAAACAATGAAACTTGTAACATATTTCCTCCTTTGTGCATACAGTGTAAATGAGCTAAATGTGGGAAATAGACAAACTGCAGAATACTGATCAAGCTTAAAATTCAAGATACACTGAAATTGTAGCACATTCCTTGCACACATTACATGAGATGAGTATGAGTGTTTATTATAAGATCTCAGAATTATTCTGAATCTGATTAACTCTAATGGTGTACCTAAACTATAACACATTAATTTCTAAAATATCACCCTTACCTTTACCAAATCTATGGACAATTTGCATCAAAGACATTAGCTTCTTTTGGAGCTTGATGGAATGTTTGAGAGATGAATGCACGAAGGGAAGTAGATATGGGGGAAATAAAAGAAAAATGGGGATAGATGGTTAGCACTTAGTTAGCACTCTATGAAGATCCACAATTTTGTCACCTTTATTCGCCCAGAATAAAATCACACTGCTCAGTATAAAAAGGATGAACTTTTTAATTAAGGGGAAGCAACAGAACTTTGCCAGGGTTTGTTGATCAAGCCATGGCTAGAGCAAGAAATGAGAAGCAGCCTACGGAAGATGAGTGAGAGAACAATCCATAAATTTTGATCAAGTACCTATGTTCTATGAGTGAGGCGGGGCAGAGTGATGCATACAAACATACCCACAATTCAACTTCCATATGGCTATATAAAAATCTTTCATAATCCACATATTAAACAAAAAATTGGTTGACAAAGGTGTATCTTCGGAACTTCAATCTGTGTATGAAATGGGCCCTCCAAAAATAGAAAACCCCATGACCCACTTACAACATTCGTAGTGTTTGAAATATCAATCTAAGTGCATGAAAACCAAAAACAAAAAAGAAAACCCTCTCTACGGCATGTACACCACTCCTAAGCAAGCTTTATCAGTTCAAATCTTCAGTATGGGTCTTTGTTGTGGTCCTACTGTTTTAAATTGTGGTTGCAGACACAGCTGCATAGACATAGAAACTTTGATGTTTCGTTCACAATTCTAGTAGCATAACTTCATTTACACCACCAAGGCAATGACATCAATAATATAATTATAGAATATTATAGAGTATTAGCATGAGGCACTTGCATTAAAGCCTAGATTGATGATAAAATGTCTACATAGGAGCAAGGAAACAAGATATTCAATTTGCAGCTTTGTTCTAAGTAATCATGTGTATCTTTCATGAAAAGCCAAAAAAGAACTACCTATACCACAAAATGAGCAGAAAATTGGAGAGACATTGTTGGGACAGGGACGACAGTCATGAACTAATAGTCAAATGCAAATACTTACATGAAAGTTTGCAATCAAAGAATCATTTTTTGTGACGATTATTCTATCATGACTACTTAACTCAAAGCAGCATGCAAATGCACTACAATTCATCAACTACTTAGTTCCTATCAGGTAGAACAGTGTGATCAGCCTAAAAAATATTAACATAAAACTTTTAACATGAGAAGATGGGGAATAAGACACGAAGGATAACAATGGAAAAGAAACTATCAAAAGGAAAGGTTACCATGGAGTGAACACAATGAAACTCAAAACACACTGTTTTAAAGAAAGGCACAGGTGAGACAGTCAAGTACAAGCAAAACCTGCCTGTCTCTAACACCATCTATAGAATGTTAAATTTTAAATTTAAGCAAAAGCAAATTTATTTGATTACATACAGGGAGACTGATACCCTTAAGTTAAAACCATTAAAAATGATTTAAATTTTAAAGGTCAATAGTTTATCTATAGATTATGGTGTAAACTGATTCGTGTAACCAACCACACCTTGTATGAACAAGCTTAGTCGTTGATGTATTCACCTTGAATGCAATTTCATTCCCCAAAATACTAGTATAGAAAATAACTTTTTAATATAAAGGAAGTATGGAACCAACAGTGGTTTTCCAGGGTTCTTTGTTAGGAAGTACAAAGTAATGCCTAGAGAAAGGAATGAGAAGCAGCCTATGGAGGAAGACATTAGGATCCAATTGCAAGTTATGGACTTGAGTCCCCCATTGAGATTCTAGTGTGGGATTTATAAGGCTTTGAGCTCTCCAACTACAACATCTAGCTTTTGTGGTGCAACTCTCTCAAGGTAAACTTGGTATTAGAGCCTTTCACCATGCCTCTCAACTACACACGAGTAGCACAAGTGATGACACCAACATTGTAGTGTTCACTCAGGGGCCACTAAGAGTGGTGAGATATTAGGATCCAATTGCAAGATATGGGACTCGAGTTCCCCATTGGAATAATGGGATTTTGGTTTGGGGTTATAATGTTTTGGGCTCTCCAGCTACAGCTGCCAACTTTTGTGATATGACTCCCACGATTCTTATCAATTGTTATCAAATCCTTCCACCATGTCTCTTGGCTATAAGCAAACAACACAATAGGTGACATTGGCATTGTATCTTTTGCGTGAGACTATTCAAAGGGCTACTGCACAGCCAAACACATGGACATTGATGATGCAAAGCATAGTAAGATGTTAGGATCCAATAAGGATGGAAATGGGTAAATACCCGTCCTTGGACCCATCCCCATTGAGCAAATATTTACCCTACTCGTTGTGGGTGTTTTTTAAGGACAGCCATAAGTTCTAGAAGAATTATCATCCCTAGGATCCAACTGCAAATTATAGGACTCAAGTCCCACATTCGAAATATGAAACTCTAGTGTGGGTCTATAAGGTTTTAGGCTTTTCATCTACAACTAGTTTTTGTGATGTAGCTCTCTAAAGGATCTTATCAGTTCATCCATATTTTTTTCATGCAAGAGTGCGAAGTTCTATAGCAAAGGAAAAGGAAACTACAAAGAGGGGTGGGGGAGAATGAACATACCCACAATACAACTTCCATACGACTTTCATACAAACCTTTAATACCGCATGTATTACAAAAACAGTGTTTTTGAATGATGGATTTTAAAGGACAAGAAAATGGTGGGACTATAGAATTGAAAATGATAAAAATGAATGTGGTTCAGGTTACACATGAAAAAAATGACAGAATATAAAACAATTGTATACAAGGATTAATTGGAGTGGTGCTGATTGAGGAAAAAATGATAAAAAATCAGTTAAAGTGGTTTTGATATATGCAAAAAAAAAAAAAAAAAAAAAAAAAAAAACA